ATTCCACCCGCTAGTTAGGACTCCCCCAATCACACGATGCTATCAACGCTAGGAGGGTGAAGGCTAGCACAGGCTTCCTCCGAGACCTGTGAAACCAACTACCGCTTCTTTACGAACTGCCGCTCACGCAACGTCACTGGACAGCCGAACACGCTCGGAGGAAAGCGCCAACCGCCAGATCTGTTACTGATTAGCCTGCTAGCCTGTTACTGCCTGCGCTGACTAGCATCGCGTTGAGTGATGGGCCATCCTACCCACCCAGAGAGAGCGAGGCCAATTGTGCTCTCTTGGACTCCCGGCTACGGATGGCTGTAGCATCACCAGGGATCGAACTCGCGATCTCCTGATGACAGGGCCAACGCTTAGACAGTTGCGCCACTCAGGAGCCCCCACATCTGATCATTCTAATGAGGAATCTCTACACTAATCAACGGTCAGGACCGAAAATGGGCAGACAGGTTCTACATTGGGACTCTAGTAATGAGTAGTTCTAGTTCTAGAAGGAAGTTAATAGCAACGTTTCACACACTTATTAAAGCAGGTGCTAAAATGTCCTAAATGTCACAACAAACACATTGCATGTGTTTATGTCACTCAGACACACATAATTGCTCTGTAAATCTGAGCTCATTATTGTTGTGTATGTGCATATTAGTGTTAGTGCAGTGTTCTATCTTCTCTTCTGTATTAAACCTCAGAGAAATTGTGTCTGATTATCTGTCTTATACTCACCGTAAATCTGCTCAGATTATAAAGACGTCCTTCAGAGCTTTAGACTCACTACTTAGAGTTTACAACAGAAAAGTTTTATTAAAAAAAGAAAGAAAACAAAAACAAGCTAATCTGAAGTGAATTATTCTGCTCTGTAAAAGCTTTAAGTGGAGATGAAGAGCTTTTCCCAGAAATGAGGAGCTTTTCTCAGAAATGGACCTCATTGGCAATGTCCTGCTGTAGAAGAGAGTTGAGCTGGATCCACTTGCCAGTAAACTTTATTTCCAACCAGGACAAATTCAAAGGTCATGGTCAAAAGACGGTCCAGATCACCAAAGTAAGCAAGCAGAAGTTTAAGGCAACCAAACCAGAGACAAAAAAACAGAAACACAGACATAGATCAAAATCCAAAAGGCATAACTGAAAATGACAAGCCTGAGAATTGGCACAGTACATCAGAACACACAGGCTATATATAGAAAAATGAATAACAAGCAACATTCAGGTGTGTAGTCAACTGACTGGAACTGAGGCATCAGCGACCTCTGCAGGCAGGGAGGATCCCTTGTAAAGATGTGACAGGCTGCTGGTTGTAAATTACTGTTTTGTTGTTTTCATGCTGTTATGATAATCTACTGTGTGCAGTGTGAATTATCAAAAGTGCAGGAAAATCTCTGAATCTTCCTGATATTGTAGAATGTTCAACAAACATGTTGGGTTTAAGTTATTTGTTCTTAGGCATTAATTCAAAACATTATTCTGCTGGGGACTCTTATTGTGAAAGGAGGGGATAATTCCACCCAGGGGGAAATGAATGTGTGAGCAGGAGGAGCTGAGAGTCAGATGTGAGCTGAGCAGCAAACAAGCTGCCAATAAAGAAAAGAAAACTCTGCTTATGCGCTGCATAGCTGTGGCCAACAACAGGTGGAGAATAAAGCAACACAACCTGAGCAAAAGATCTGTCTCTTTTAATGAACGCTACAGTACGTTTCAGGTGCAGGTGTTTTGGCTCCAACCTTCCAGGCCAGAGTTTAGTGATGTACTGTGATGTAATAATGATTCACATGTTAGAAAAAGGCTTAATCCCAGTCTGAGAAACCCAGTCTGACAAGGTTCCTCAGTCTAATGGAGTCTGCAGAGGGACTGTTATCATCCACCATCATCTGAACCATCTCCAGTCAGAGATATCAGCTGATCATGGGCTGAGTGCACTTGTTGTGATAACTTTAGGGCTGTAGGAGTTGAACATGTCAGTCCTGGATGAGTCAGAACGCTGGATTTAGCGCTAGTCATTCTAATGTTTGAGTCTGTTAGCTTAAAGGACTCTCATGATTCACTGTGCAGAACAATAAAGAGACCAGCTTTAATGACCTTTAACTGACCAAAAGAGGTCAAGAAAGATTTTAAACATGGAGTCTCCAGTTAGCACATCATGCTAATCTGAACATTAGCATCGTTCAGCTGAACTTTTCCTGTTTTGAAATCCATGTTAATGTGGTGGTTCGTTCGTCCATCCTCCAGTGTTCTCTCTGTTCTTTATCATCTCCTTTGGTCCTTTTACTGTGTATGAGTTATAACCCTGCATTTCTCTGGATGATTAATTCATTTCTTTTCTCTGAATTTCATGAACTCTCTGATCTTTCCCTCATAATGATTCACTCTTCAGAGGTTCACAGTCCATGAACGACTTGTTCTTTATTTTCTTTGTCCAGTGTGACCCTCAAAATGCTGATCACAGCTCCTAAAGAGTCCCTCACTCTGACATTTACTCGTCCCTCCATATGGGGACACATTAATGTCTAATAATCTCCATAATGAGGTAATAATGCAGAACCCACCTGCACTAATTACACCTCTAGATTTAGCTTTAATAGAACACATGAATAAAATCAAGATCTTTGTTTCTGAGATGCTAATTATGAGGAGTATTTATATTTGCATCATGAATTATTCATCAGCCAGAGTCCTCAGTGTGATTGACCCCTACAGCACAGAGCCATCTACACACATTTCACCCTAAAGCTAACGTTAGCTTCCTGCTAACTAGTGTAAAGTGTACATAAGCGAGACTCTCTCTTTCTGAAGTCTTCTTGGCTCTGTGTTCCAGAATAGAGTCACTCTGAACCTCAGCAGAGCCTCATCTTCATCTCTGTCTAATCTAAGGGATCAAACCATTGAGTTCAGCCCCAACACCTCGTCCTGGAGCTCTACAGACCCTGATACCATCAGCACTGAGATCAGATGGCATCTGTGAGTCTCAGAGAGAAAACTGACCACACAGAGTGTTTGAGGAGGTAAACACAGCTGGAGGAACTGACCTGAATTAATGATAATGAGTCAGTGAGCTTTTCATTACCTAAAGCCCAACACAGACTCAGTTCTATTGAATATAATAGAATTATAATTCGTTATTTAACTCAACTGTGCAATTCTATGTAGCTAACAAGCAGTGTAGACTTATGTACACCGATTAGCATGGTGCTAACTGCATATGAAGATCATCGTGTTCTGTGTCTCTAATAGTCTTGATGATGTGGTTTTTGACTCTGTATGATTCACTGTATTTTTAAAAATGGACTAAAGTACATTAGCATAGCTGAACACAGCAGCAGTGATTTGTGGCAGAACTATCACTTTAAGAGCTCCAACAGGAGACGCAGCCTGCGGAGGGTCCTGAACGGAGGGTCCTGTTATTCAGGTTCAGTCAGTATTTAGAGACTGTAGTTCAGTTGTATGTTCAGTCGTCTCCTCCTCCTCTCTTTCTCCTCCTCCTCACTGTGACACTTGAAACCAACAGAACAACCAGGAAGTGACTCAGTTCAGAGAAAACGAAACTGATCGCAGTGTCTCCCTCTCTCTCCCCCCTCTCTCTCTCTCTCTCTCTCTCTCTCAGTGTAGACGGTCAGGAGAATGGCAGAGGCCAGTATTTCAGTAGATCAAGACCAGTTCAGCTGTCCAGTCTGTCTGGATCTGCTGAAGGATCCAGTGACCGTTCCCTGTGGACACAGTTTCTGTATGGTGTGCATTAATGGCTGCTGGGATCAGGAGGATCAGAGGGGGCTCTACAGCTGCCCCCAGTGCAGAGAGACCTTCTCTCCAAGGCCTGTTCTACGCAGAAGCTACTTTATAGCTGAAATGTTGGAGAAACTGAAGAAGACAGAAGTCCGAGCTGCTCCTCCTGCTGGATCTGAAGATGTGGAGTGTGATTTCTGCACTGGGTTTTACCAGCCAACACCATCTTCAGCCTTATAGTGCTCACATGATGGTGTGAAAGCTCTGTAGAACAACAGTGAACTTCACTACTGAGTCACTCCACGCTGACTCACCTACAGCAAACACCTACGGCCAACCAATCAGCACTCGGTAGCAGTAATGCTAACCAATCAGCGCTCAGTAGAAGTAATGCTAACCAATCAGCACTCAGTAGCAGTAATGTTAACCAATAAGCGCTCAATAGCAGTAATGTTAACCAATAAGCGCTCAATAGCAGTAACATTAACCAATTAACACTCAGTAGTAGTAATGCTAACCAATCAGCACTCAGTAGCAGCAATGCTAACCAATCAGCGCTCAGAAGCAGTAATGCTAACCAATCAGTGCTCAGTAGCAGTAATGCTAACCAATCAGCACTCAGTAGTAGTAATGCTAACCAATCAGCACTCAGTAGCAGTAATGTTAAGCAATCAGTGCTCAGTAGCAGTAATGCTAACCAATCAGTGCTCAGTAGCAGTAATGCTAACCAATCAGCGCTCAGTAGCAGTACCGTTAACCAATCAGCACTCAGTAGCAGTAATGTTAGTGTCCTGCTATTCCAAAGCTGTTTACTATAGGGGATCTGGACTAATACTGGTAGGTGTTCATTGATTTTTAGTGAAATACATTCATCTACTTTCCAAAATTAAAAGAAGATCCTGGACAAGGGATTAGAAACTTGTTCAAGTTTACATATTTAGCTGTTTAGCACCTTTCACTCCCATTCACTGAGCACTTGCTCGTGGGTGCCCTGTAGCATTTAATAGGTATGTTTTTGATATAACAGGAGAAACAGGAGAGACTCCCTTAAACTGGCGCTGAGTTCCCCTCTGGTAAAAACACTGGATTTAAAAATGAACCTTTATAAAGTCCAGAAAAGTGCTGTAAACTGAAGTTTGTGTATGAACTTGATGAAACTCCATGAGGTGAGTGGACAGGGACGAGGTGAGCTGGTGTGGAATGACCCTTCTTTAACGCACAGTAATCCAAATGTCTGTAGGTGATGATTCCCAGTCATACAGTGTGTTTGTTGACAGAGTAAGCTGGATGAGATGCAGAGAGAAGTCCAGCAGATGATCCAGGAGAAACAGAAGAAGCTGCAGGAGCTGGAACAGGCTGTGAACACTCTTAAGGTGAGGACTGAGCAGAGATTGGATATTTCAGAGCTCAGTCAGGTTCTCCTCCAGTCAGACAGTGAGGAGCTCAGTGTTGGACACTCTGGGATTAAATTCACACACTTTCTCCTCCCATTACACCAAATGGAGTCCAGCACACAAGACATGTTTGGGCTCTGAAGGTTCAGCACTGGAGCTACGAGGCTAATGTAGCTAACAAGCTGATACTGTACTCTACCAGTTAGCACGTAAAAGTGTGTTAGCATAGCTGAAAGCAGTAGCAGCCGTCCAGAAGTCTCACTTTCGTCTGTGTCTCTGTACCATTTTTATAGATCACAGTGAGTCATAGAATATTTCTACTGTTACTCCACAGCTTAGCTACATTAGCCTCACAGCTCCAGTGCAGACCTGAGTAATCAAACTTCAGACACTAAACCCGTCTGAACTGATGGACTACACTGACTGTGAGGAGTGAAAGTGTGTAATGAGATGTTCTACTGAAGTCCTCCTTTAAATGGAGCTCTATATGTGCTCTCTGTATGTGCTCTAACAGCGCTGTGCTCAGACAGCAGTGGAGGACACTGAGAGGATCTGGACTGAACTGATCTGCTCCATTGAGAAAAAGCGCTCTGAGCTAACAGAGCTGATCAGAGCTCAGGAGGAGGCTGAACTGAGTGCAGCTGAAGAACTCCTGGAGAAACTGGAGCAGGAGATCGCTGATCTAAAGAGGAGAAACACTGAGCTGGAGCAGCTTTCACTCACAGAGGATCACATCCATTTCCTCCAGGTAACAATCACTGATCTACAGAGGAACCTGTTCATCATCAACTTCATCAAACTCCTCTCAGCTAAAGTTCATGAAGACAGTAATAAACAGAGCTCTGTCTGATCACTCGCTCATCTTTAGTCTGATTTGGTCTGAACTGCTTCATTCCTCTTTTTCTCCATTCTGTTTTCCTCTGTGTAGAGTTTCCAGTCTCTGAGCGTCTCTTCTGGATCTGAGGACTCCTCCAGCATCTCAGTCCATCACCATCTCTCATTTGATGGAGTGAGGAGCGCTCTCTCTGATCTGAAAGAGAGACTAGAGGAGTTCTGCAGAGAGGAGTTCAGGAAAATCCCTCCACAGGGTAAGAGGAGGGATGGAAATCTTTACTCTCACACAGACAGTTAAAGAGAAACAGAAGATTTTCCCCAAAACTCAGCAGAGATTATCTAAAACACCTTTGTTCCTCATTTAGTTTGTTCCTAATCCATTCTGGAAGCATTGAGCTCTCTAATCAGTCACTGTGTTTCAAGGTTCCTCTCTCATTTTAACAGTAAAGGGACACTTTTCAGGGTCGTCATACGTCAGAACTTGTACACATGTTCTCTGTTTACACAGTCACTCTTTCGTAAACAACCACCTAGCAACAAATAAGCAATCACCATGGATACCATAGCAACCACTTATTAACATCCTTGCCATAACCACAGACTGCATAGCAAACACATAGCAACCACCTCACATACAACAACCACCAGAGATTCCATCAGAACTACCAAACAACACCCTGCTTACCCCCTGAAATGCCATGGCAACCATCTTAAAACACCTTAGTAACCTTCTAGAATACCATAGCAACACTTCAGCAACCACCTGGAATACCATAGTAACCATCTAGTACCATCTTAGCAACCACATTAGGATCCATAGCAACCACCTAGTGACACCTTGGGAACCACCAGAAATACCAAAGCAACCACCTTAAATACCAGATTAACCTTTTGACAAAACCCTAATAACCACCTGGGAATTAATTAAGCTGCACAATTTAATTACATTTTCTTCAGAAAATACTAGAATACTTTATTCTAGTACATGATTAATGTACTGTTTTTTAGATTCTTCTAATAGACTCACTTTAACACAGCTTAGAGTGAGAGAGTTTCCCCAAAATACATATAAATTTACACTTTAACATAATACGTATTTTTTTCCTGGTCAGAGCTATTCTATTCTATTCTATTCTATTGATGTGGTCCTGTGTGTTCTTGTGTCTCCACAGCTGCAGCAGCTCCTTTATCACTCTCAGAACCAAAGAGCAGAGAAGATTTTCTACAGTGTAAGTTGAGCCTTTAGGCAGCGTCTGAAATTCTCACTGTAGAGACGTTTAAAGTTGGAAACAAACACAACAACAAACAACATTTTTCTTCTAATAAGAACTTTTTGTGAACACAAACATGAACTGATTATTCTCTTTATTTTATTGTGATTTTATTTAGACTTCTGTCAGCTGACTCTGGATCCTAACACAGCACATCATCAACTCATCCTGTCTGAGAAGAACAGAGTGGTGAAGAGGAGTAATGAAGGCCAGAGTTACTCTGATCATCCAGAGAGATTTGACATTTGGCCTCAGGTGCTGAGTGTGGAGAGTCTGAGTGGACGCTGTTACTGGGAGGTTGAGTGGAGCGGAACTGTGAACATATCAGTCTCATATAAAGAGATCAGGAGAAAAGGACAGCGTAATGATAGTTTGTTTGGATGTAACAATCAATCCTGGATGCTGCAGTGTTCTTCTTCTTCTCTCATGTTCTTCCACAACATTAGCACTGCTCTCACAGGACGTCCATCCTCCAGAATAGGAGTTTATGTGGATCACAGTGCAGGAACTCTGTCCTTCTACAGCGTCTCTGACACAATGACCCTCCTACATACAGTCCACTCCACATTCACTCAGCCTCTCTATGCTGGGTTCTTTGTCCATGATGGATCATCTGTGAGGTTGTGTGATAAAAATGATGGTGGTGATCGTGGCTCATGGTCTGTGAGGCCTATTTGACCAAGTTTCTGCTCTTATCATCCCTTTTTCCTCACCTAATTATATTTGCTATATTTTATTTAACAGTGATTATCCTCTTATAATCTCAGGCTTATTATATTCTAAAGCTTATTATTCATTAACTACATGAACTACAGTGTAAACTGACAGTTATTCTTCATCTGATCATTTAAAGGGTTAATAAGTGTGTGTGTATTTACTGGGTAAAGTAGTAGATCTGCTATTGTTGGTAAATAATGTGAGGTGTGTTATCTGCATCTTATGCTGTTATAGTTTGGGGTAAATAAAAGTCCGTTACTAAACCTGTTTCCTCTGCAGACATTGTTTATTTAAGATAAGATAAACTTTATTCATCCTGAAGGAAAATACAGCTGTTCAACACAGCATCTTGTACAGTGTAACATACAGCACAGCTAAAAACAGCAAATACTGCAGTTTTTTATTAAATGTTGCATTTGTAAGTGTGACATCATAACATATATACTGAATAGTGATCACTGTACTCAGAAACACATTTTAGGACATGATGTAATGACTCATACACCGTGTTACAAAGTGCAGCAGTGTTTAGTAAACGGGGTGATGGGAGGGGAAATACCAGTAACATCACACTCACACTGTAAATTTGATTGGCTGCTGGTACAATATGGATCAGAAGGAGGAGTTAAGGTCCTTATTTTGAGGAGAACATCTTGTCTACAATCTTTTAAGCATTACAGGAAGGAGAAATAAATCACAACACTATCATTAGCATTGGAAAACTCTCAAAGTAGAACCGTTCTCCATTCAGACCTCATAAACTCATCTGTTGCTCTTCCTCCCATCCAGAAAGATGATCGTAATGATAACGAGACTTTCACTGATCTTTCATTTCTATCAGTAACAGCAGAGGATCTGTGTGAGCTGCAGATAATGAGAAATGTATGTTTATTTCTCTTTTTTATTTTATTTATTTTAAAATGTAACACAGCAGCTGACCAGCCAGCTCTGGGACTCCAGTAAGGAAAGTTCTATCAGGAGGTTTTACAGCAGCAATATTTTACAGGAAAAACATGTCCTAAATATCACAGCAAACAGTGTGTTTCTTTATGTGACAACAGAGATCACTCCTTCACCACACAGGAGGAGGTCCAGACAAAGAGAAGAGCATTCTGGGAGGTAAACAACAAACAAATACATAAACAAAGGCCTGAGTCTGAAGTTCTCCTCCATCTTTCTGTAAACACCTTCAATCACAGCTCCATAAATTATACAGACCTCTCAAGAGTGAAGTGTCTTAGTGAGGAGTCTCTCTGCTTCAGTCAGCCTGATGGGCTGTATTTGTGCTTTATCTCTGCTGCTGGTCAGTTTGATCTTCATCACTAGCTGAGAAGATCTGACCAACCAGCAGATTTAACGCTGTTAGCGTCAAGAGTGTAGCTGTTCATTTACGACTGGAGGGAAGATACAGGATAGTGCTAGCATATATACTTATAACATTAGCCTCAGCCACCTAGCTAGCTAACATTGCTTTAGTGAACTCTTCACACATCAACACACCACTGTAGTGTCCACTCTGGGCTCTCAGTGATGATGTAACAGTGCTCAGTGACTTTATCCTCACCTGGAAGAGTAAAGAGTTCATTAGCTGTGTTTCTGGACGTCTTTCTCAGAGTCCAAAACCTGTAGCTGTGATATCTGTGAGTAAATGGACTCAGATGAACACAGAGAAAGACACACACAGAGTCACTGGAGTGGTTTCTGAGTTTAATGAGGTGAGTTTTCTCTCTCAGTGTGAAGTTTCTCAGTCACTCAGAGAGAGAGAGAGAGACAGAGACAGAGATACAGATACGAGAGAGAGAGAGAGAGAGAGAGAGAGAATTCACTCGTTTCTTTGCCTGTGTAATGAGTCAAAAAAAAGACGTTTTATTAACTCTATGGAACCGAGCGTCTCACTGCTGCTCCATTCTGAGAATCTGAGCCTCTTGAACTGGTTTAAACCTTTAATCTGCCAGAGGAGCTACAGAGTGTGAACGATCACAATGGTCAGAGTGAAATACACCACTCAGAGGCTCTGCAGATGGATGCTGCCGCTTTCCAGCGCTGGCGTTCCCGAACTCCATCAGCCGCAGGGTGAACGGGACGATTTCCAGCCTGAGACCCAGAGGAGCCCTGAGTTTAGAGGTTCCTCAGAGTCGCTGTGGTGTGAGTGTTCCTGCTGCCATGCGACCCTTGCAGTGGTACCTGATATTACTGACTAAAATAACAGGAACACTCTGAGGGTTCTATCAGTCGAGTAGTGCAGATGTTCTAGATAAACTCTGAGCAAAGCTGTAAGAGCTGATTTAATGTGTATTAAATCTAGATTGATAAAGAATCTCATCAATAAAGTGTGTAATCAGAGACAGTTTGGGGTGATGTTGAACATGTTTAACTCTCTGTGTCTCAGCTTATGAAGCGTTTGATCACAGGACTCACCTCAGAGCATGGAGATGATCAGTGTCTCTAACAGACGTCACTGTATGACTAACTGTTATCTAGAACAACAGGAGGAACATGAAAAGTGAGAACAAAGATGGTTAAAATGAACCTTCCTGCTCTTTGCTCTGTCCTGCTGATCTCTCATCGAGCTGTTTTCCACATTTAGTTTAATCACAGTTCTGATTTAGCGCTGTGGACATGACCACTGTAACCACCACCACCCATATAACCACCTCCAATATAACCACCACCAGCACCACCACCACTATAACCACCACCAACACCACTGTAACAATCTGACCAAACTCAGCAGTTACTAATAAAATCTTAACACTAATTTGGTGAGAAAAAAAACATGCGAGCACTAGAATACCACACAGCTTGCACAAATTAGATTTTACTTAATCTTCCCCAGAACAGACAACACACTAACAGCAACAGCAACAAAGCTTAAAAAAAACAAACCAGAAAAGCAGTTGATTATAAGATCTGCTACAGAAGTCCATTAGGTGGGATAAAGAAATCAAAGTCCAGAGATTGTCTCTATCAAATCCAATAAAAAAAAAAGTCCAAAAAATGTCAAACCACAACCATTGTCCAAGCAAACAATGTCCCCGGAATACTCAAAAATCAAAACAGGGCCCAGCAGTGCAAAAACAAACAAACAAACAAAAAAAAACAGGAACGAGCTCACCCAGTTCCTTGAGGTATCTCCACAGTTAGAGTGGGATCCAATGTTCAAGGACAAACATGAGTAGAAAAAGGAGTAAAAGTCTGTGAGGGCTTGAGCAGCAATGATCCACCAGGCCTGTCTTCCCCAACCTTGACCCTCCATGAAACGGCTGCCACACTTTCCTGTTCCCAAACAAGGGTTTATATGCAAAATAAGAGTCCCCCTTTGGAATGAACAGGAAACATTTTCAAAAAAAAAAATCTGGAAAACAAAACATAATAAAAATACCAGAAATAGGATAAGGCCACAACTCCTATCAGAACATCCCAGTTAGAAGTCATAAAGGAAAGTAAGGACTTTATTTCTTTGGGGTAACCTAAATAACACTACCTGAAATCTATGTTAGTGTTAATCATTAAAAATAGGTATCCCACAGGTCCCCTTATGTGGTGGTGTCACACCACCACCACTATAACCACCACCAGTATAACCACCAACAACACCACCACTATAACCACCTCCACTATAATCACCACCACTATAACCACCACCACTATGACCACCACCAACACCACCACCACAGTAGTATGAAATGACTGCTGATGTGTTTTTATCTAGATCAGCCCAGGCTGTACCAGAGCTTTGATTACTGTCATTCCAACAATGCTAAATTTTGCCGGCATTTCTGTGGGAGTTACTATATAACATTAGCACCAAGCTAACTGAGGTGTCCTTTCACTTCTCCACTCTAGATTTAATACCAACTTACAGCAGCTCTACATGATTTAGGACATTTAGAGATTCTATGAAAAATACTTCAACACTGCATCCATAGACAGTCATTCAGTTCACAAAGCGGAGAGGGAGAACCAGTACGGCGGCCGAGTGGATCAGGTGTTGTTAGATTAGGGCTGGGTATGAACTCCGCAGGGTGGGAGATCTTCAGGGCCAGGACTGGGTGTCTCCTGATCTAGTACATCACCACTAACTGCTCCAGAGTGGACACTAGAATGGTGTGTTGATATGTTGATGTTTATTTGCAGAAATGGTCACTGTGATGGCAGCACCAGCAGAACTGATACGTTCCTGAGATCAGGAGAGAAATGATGAGGCAGGACGACAGGAGTTCTCTGCAGGTGTTTATTAGATGTTCTTTTACAAACAGAAACAGTTTCAGATCAAAGCCAATAAAACAATAAGAATCATCGGTCAGTGGGGGAAACGTGTGTCCAGCGCTAACATCAGCTCTCTAACTAAAGACGTGTGATGGTGCCATTAGCCAGCGACCCTCAGCGAGGCTTAGTTTCCTCATTTCAATCAGAAACTTAGATCTCGACAAAATGATCAGCTTAATGAAAACCCTCTCCTCACACTGCCCCCTGCTGGTGCTGAATAAGAACAGCAAGAAGATCCTCTAAGCTAGAGATTCTCTGCAGCTCATTTCTGAATAAACATTATTATGAGGATAATAAATGTATGATTATAATCTCCCAGATAAAACACAACCTGCACCACATTTCAGAGAAGAAAAATACACTATATATGAAAAATGACAATATTCACAAAGACAAATGTGAGCACAGCATTGTGGGAGTCACGTTCACACTGAGGAGCCGCTTCACTAAAACACTGAGTGTAATGACTTTAACCCTTGAAGATTCTCTACTGAAGACTTTAACCTCAAATAGCTTTGACAGCTACACTGCTATTCTCAGTGTAATGGGCTCATGATGGTTGTCATGGTGACTTTATAATAACATCAGCTTTATGTTACTTTAGTAGATCAAGTTAAAAGGTGAAATGTAGCCATGAGGTTTGTACAAATGTATAACTCAAAAACTTTATTATACATTTATTTTTATTTATTTACTGTATTTTATTCATTTTGTTTTCTGTAAATGAAACAGTAATTATCCGTATTTAGTAATCATTTTTAAACGTCTCTTAGAATTAAACAGGCTGTTGTTTTTACTGTGCCTGTAGTAAAAGGCACGGTGGTGGGCAGGCCTAAACTGCTGAAGGCTGAATGGTCATCTAATCCAGGTCAGTAGTTTCACTGGTTTCTTGTTCATTAGAAAAGCGTGAAAAAGTCCATCATCCATGCGTGGATTGTAGGTGACCAGCAGGTCCGAACCTTTATTACACACTTCCATAACCTAAGAATAACTCAGTC